ATTTGTCGGATGGATCAAGCTGAGGAGGAATGATCCCCTGGTGAACATAGCATGCTCCCTTGCATCTCTGAGCCTGGTCACCATCCTCACGAAAGAAGGCGCCATTCAGGCCGGTGACTACTCGACAAAGTCTATCGCGCAAATCCTCAAGATGATCGTCGCTGGTGTGATAGCCACTATGCTTGTTTCCTTCTTGATTTTCCCCATATCAGCCAGACACAAGTTGAGGAAAAACCTCCTGCAGGTGACTGATACACATGCGGACATGCTTGCCTTGATTACGAGCAGCTTTCTATCTGGCGATGAGGCAGAACTGGAAGATAGCGTCTTTCAGAGCATTAGTGATCAGCACAAAAAGCTTTCCTCTACCATTCCACAAAATTTGAAAGAAGCAAGATACGAACATTACTTGTTGGGCACCGAGAGACAAGCTCTGATTGAGGGTAGGCTGGCGCAATGTCTCCAGCGGATTTCGCAGAGCATTGGCGGCCTTCGGAGTGCTGCAGCCATGCAGTTTGTCGTGACCAAGCAGCCGGCCTTTAGTTCCGCGCAATTCGCAGCAGAGAATACTCTTACACCACATTGGATGGATTCAATGGAGAGTTCCAAAGTCACCATGGGCGAGCGAGAATGGTTTAATTACTCTGCACCATCCTCGCCTATCCAAGGGTTGGGCAGGCCGCTTACTGGATCGCTGTCAGGTCCAACTCCCCTGCCATTTCGATCACCGGCGCAAATATTCGAGCTTTTCATCGAAAACCTTGGGCCTTCCATGAGATCTTTGGCTTTCACTTTGAAAGAAATCCTGGATGACTGCCCCTTTGATGCCTCTAAGCGATACATCGTTTCCACCAACCCCAAATTCAAAATGAGTCTTGATCGAGCATTGGGGTTGTACAAGCAGTCTCGGCAAGATGCAATCCTGGCTGTATATAGTCAGAAGGACATGTTTCGATCTCGACCAATGCCTGTTCAAGCTGACTGGGAGGATGCCGCTGCTTGCTGTGGCCACTTTTCATTCTCCTTGGTGGAAGTGGCTGAATCCGTGAAAGAATATTTGAACATCCTCGACGAGCTCCAGCTCGAGGTTGACGAGCACCCTTTCGGGAAGACGTGGAATTGGCTGAAGTTTTGGCGCTCACCATACACCCAGACAGAACTGGCTGGACTCGACCCTGATTTTGCAAAACTGGCCAAAAGTTCGGATGAATTTGAAGTCAAGGTTAGCGACAAGCAGCTCAATGTATCTCCACAGCATAATGTCCCCCAGTGGCCTGATCAACCTCGCCTCAAACAAATATTTTTCCGCTACCTCTACGCTGCAGCATCTTTTTTTCGACGTGACGATATCAGGTTTGCAATTAAGGTCGGCCTAGGCGCTCTTCTGTACGCACTTCCAAGTTTCCTCTCCTCGACACGCCCACTGTACCAGCACTGGCGAGGGGAGTGGGGCTTGGTCTCTTACATGCTTGTGTGCAGCATGACAATCGGAGCGTCCAACACGACGGGTTACTCCCGGGTGCTCGGAACCTGTCTTGGAGCTGTTCTCGCAATAGCCGCCTGGGAAATATCGCACGACAATCCCTTCATCCTGTGTCTTTTTGGGGTCTGCATGGCGTACTGGACCGCGTATATCATCATTGGAAAAGGCAAAGGCCCGATGGGACGATTCATCATGTTGACATACAACCTCAGTGCTTTGTACGCGTACAGTCTCGCTGGTCGTGACAACGATGATGATGATGGAGACGAAGAGGATGCCGCAAAGAATCCCCTGATCCTTGCAATCGCCGGACATCGGGTGGTTGCCGTAATTTCTGGCTGCATATGGGGATTGATCATTACACGCGCTGTCTGGCCTATATCGGCTCGGCAAAAGCTGAAAGATGGCCTTGCACTACTGTGGCTACGCATGGGTCTAATCTGGAAGAGAGATCCACTGGCCACGCTGACCGAAGGTATCCCTCCAGATCGCTACATGAACCTGCGGGAGGAGTTGTATCTGCAAAGATTTCTAGCTAAGCTCCGAGGCCTGGCAGAGGCATCCAAAAGCGAGTTTGAGCTCCGACGGCCGTTCCCGCATGCGACCTATGGCCGGATTCTCAACAGTACTGAGCAGATGCTGGGTTCATTCCACGCCATGAACGAGGTGATCCTAAAAGATCTGAACACCTCCCCAGGAGAGGAGGCACTCTTGAAAGCCACAGCCAAGGAACGAGCGCAGCTGTGCCGGAGGATCAGTCACTTGTTCAGCGTTCTCGCGAGTTCGATGAAGTTGGAATATTCAATCACGAGTGACGCGTTGCCCAGCATTGACAATACACGGGACAGGCTCCTGGCAAAGATTTTCGAGTATAGACAGGCTGACGCACACGAACAAAGGACCAAAGATGAGGACTATAGCCTTTTGTACACGTATGCACTAGTCACGGGCCAGCTGGGCCTCGGGATAGAGGACGTGCTGAAAGAGGTGGAAAACCTGTTCGGTGTCCTTGATGAAGAGGCATTGCGACTTCAATAGCCACAAGAGGTTGAACTGCAGTTTTGGAAACGGGTTCATCAACTATATATATTCAACACTGCGTGAACACGATTGACGCAGCGTCTTTTGTAAACTGAAGAAAATTCCATTTTAGAAGGCTGGGCTGTGGTCAATGGCTGGTCGTGTACTCGTAGCTGTGTACCGAGTACGCGCGTCTTGCTCGTAGAATATCCATACACTGTACTGGTATACTACCGTACCTAGTATTCATGGATAGTGTGGGGAAAATACTGATACTGATGCGGCACCAAGTTACTGCAAAGGTGAATGGATAGCTCACCGTAGTCCCTCCAAGCACATAGCGACCCAGTAATAATGATCCACTGCAAACGGAGGTTCGGGATCGTCGACGTACCTAAACCGCGAGCCCCACGGGGCGCACAGCCTCCAGGCTGCGGCGCCTAACAAGCCGGAGTCACGTTGAGGACGTGACCTCGTGTGCTTTGCCCTGACGAAGCGTGGCTGTGTCTTTGATATTCGCAAGAGGGCGCAAACAATCGGACTCGGTTGCGCCTGTGAGTGTCGTCCTCGACTTCAAATCTATACCGAGTAGTCAACCACAAAGTCTTACAATACTGTAGAGTCGTCTCGAGTATCAGCGTGTCTGTTTTACCACAAGACACCCTCGTCACTGGCACCACAAGGGCACCACGACAGACAAGTTCAGGAACGCCATGCTGGATGAGAATCTGCCGAGTACGTGTGCATGTCTGTCCCTCCAGCATCCTCATTGCTAACAGTTGCAGCATTTGTCCTCAAACCGTCCAAAGACAAACCGAAGCAATTGTCCACATTTCTCTTTTCCCAGCATGGAGCTGATTATGAGCCTTTCTACACGGTACGACATCTAGACCCAGACAACCATGCTTCGAGAAACCGATATGCGGCAGCACTTTACGATGCCTTTAGTCCCGAAGTCCTCTATGCCGAAGTCCTTCTCATCCCAGAATGGACCCAACCTCCTCCTCTATCCGAACAAGCCAGGTTGAATGGGGCGATCCCACCCCCTCCTGAACCCATCCTCCCCTCCGAGTTCGTAATACAGCTCTACAATCCAGATCAACAGATAGTAGTGAGGCACAAGGCTGCGAGCTTCAACAGATCCGCATCGTGGGAATTCGAGATGCCACAACAGACCTTTCGGCCCCCATCTGGGTCTGCGCTTGATCGCACGCAATACGACCCGGCTGCTTCAGAGGTTACACCCAAAATTGTTTTCAAGTGGAAGAAAGACAGCAAGTTTTCAAAGGATCTGGCATGTTTCATGTCTGGGAAGAGTACGGATATAGAAGGAAAGGCCAAACACAGAGACCCAGATATCACTGTGTCGATATTCAAGGCTTTGAAAGAGTTGACCCTGTATGAGCCAAATCTGCAGAGGGTAGATATCGAGGATCTCAAAGGTTTCGAGGTGGTCCTCCTGCTTGGAGCTGTGGTGATCCGTGATGTGTATTTTGGTTCTTTGAAGGAGACCTTTAATCTCAATGTGAACAAGAAATCCAACCCGGCTAGTCCAAGTACCGGCCCTGCAATTCTGCAAACAGATGCCAGACATCAGCCAGTCTCGCCCACCCACGAACCGCGAGTGCCACCCACAGATCCACGGACACAGTGGGAGATTGAAGCCGAGTCTGCTCGATTGCGGAGGCAAGCGCTAGAGGAAGAGAGACAAAGACGGCGCAGAGAGGAGGAGGAGGAGCGCTTGACTAGGCAACTCTTGGAGAGAGAAGAAAAGGAACAACGGCGAAGAAAGCAGGCGGAAATCCAACAGGAGACTGAGCGGCTCAAGCAAATGTATGGGCGGGAAGATGCGTCTGCTCGTCCAGATCTTCCTCCTCGAGATCCACGACAACACAGGCACCACTCCGAAGCCGGACAATCAGCCTATCTCGAGACACACCAAGGACAACATCCCGTTACTCCATATGTTAATGCCTGGGGGGGATACTCATCAGGTCCTTACATGTCAGGAGCTGCTTCACAATCAAGTTTTCTCGCACCTGCGCCTGCGTTGCAACCACAGATCAAACCAAAATCGAGCATTTTCAATTTCCGGCGCCGGAGCGATCAAGATACAAACAAGTTGCAAAGAAAGCGAAGTGCCGTGTTTTAAAACATCGAGCTTCCTCTTTGGGCTACCACAGTCCCTGGCACACGGAATGTCATCGGTGATCACCCCGGTTGAACCCCATGTCATCACCTCTCAGAAATTTCCAGTGGTGCTGCCATTTCTATCTGCCTCTAGAGCTGATTTCCATCTGCATGCGACATTGCTTGCAGTCTTGCACCCGAGAATATGTCTACTTCCTTAGGTAAAAGAATCGTCTTCACCGGGGGCTCCGGGAAAGCCGGACGTCACTGCATTCCGTACTTGTTGAACAAAGGACACCAGGTTCTGAACTTGGATCTGGTGGATTTCCCAAAAGACCATATCCCTCCAGGAAAGAATGTATACACAATGAAGACAGATCTGACCGATGGCGGTCAAGTGTTCAACGCACTGTCCTCGCTGTTTTCGATGAGCGAGTTTGGTCTGCCGAAACACCCTGGGCCTCCCGACGCTGTCATCCACTTTGCAGCGTATGCCCGAAACATGATCGTGCCAGACAGCGAGACTTTTCGGGGTAATGTCATGAGCACATACAATGTGATCGAGGCTGCGTGCAAGTTGGGTGTGAAGAAGATTGTCATTGCCAGCAGCGAGACCACCTATGGTGTTTGCTTCACGCAAGGGGACGATGACTACCATTCTTTCCCTCTTGAGGAGGATACGTACGATCGCAATCCAGAGGATACGTACGCCTGCAGCAAATTGACCGGAGAGCGTATCGCTCGGACTTTTGCCCGACGGTTCAATATCGATATTTACGCCTTGGTGATCGGCAACGTGATTGAGCCACACGAATACGAGAGCAATTTTCCCCGACACGTGGGAAAACCAGAGACAAGAAAAAGAAATGCTTGGAGCTATATCGATGCTCGGGACCTTGGTCAAATTTGTGACTTGTGCGTTGCAAAGAGCGGGCTCGGGTTCCAGGTGTTTAATGCCACCAACGACACTATTACAACGACAGTGCCGACAGAGGAGTTTTTGAAAAAGCACTGTCCCAATACACCCATTACGCGGAAGATGGGCAAGTGGGAGGCGCCCCTCTCCAACAAGAAAATCCGAGAGGTTTTGGGATTCAAAGATGTCCACGATTGGAGGAAGTACTACACTCACAAAGAGTAGAACAGTCAGAACAATCCAGATCTATCAAGTTGACAGCACGACTGAAGTGCGCTAAACCTTTGGGTTCCTAATGCTCCAATCAATATGAGCATCTCCAACGTCCGTGCCCCCCTTGTCCAGCTGAACCATGTGAAGAGAGCCTATGAACGGCGCCCTCACCCAAGTAGAGCTGAACGCACGACTAGGACGAGTGTGCAACAAGCAAAGGGGTGGTTTGTCTTCAATCTCCTACCTAGGTAAACGCGTGTCCGATCTCAGTGACTCCATCTATAAACAATACACAGAGCTTAGATGAAGTGCCCGATCGTCAATCCAAGCATATTCTAGCTTTGCCTCGTGTGGCGGTGATGTGGGTTTCCCGACTGAGGGTCGTGGCCGCTCCCTACCGCTCGCTAGGTACGCACCCACGGCACCTAGGCGAGCCCTAATTAATTTCTGTGACGATTTCCAAGCTTGTCGGAGTTCGGGGTTGTGCAATTACTCGGTACTAGACAGGCTTCCCCCCCAAGGCTACAACAGGTAGCCAGCTCGCCAGGCCCAGCCACTCAAAACTCGTAGTAGTCGCACTTGCAAAACACGACTGACAATTCGATCATCGCAGCTGCCAGCGCAGCAGGCCTTAACTGTCTCTGAATCACTTGCGCAGGACAAACATCTTTTCTAATCCTCCTTATCCTATTGAACGGCGAACAATATCAGTCGCGTCGTAGGAATGATACGAGTAGTGCCGCCGACACCCATTTATTCTATTTCATTGATCCAATTCTACACGTCGACACCGCCTTGACGCCTCTACGATTCCGTCTGATGTGCCATGAGAAAATCCAGCTCAGGCCGGCAGCGGGCCGGCTCAGAGGCATCTTCGAGGTACGAGCGACCGAGAAATGATGATCAGGATTCCCCAACCGGACATTTCGCCCCAGACGCGACGACAACCTCGTCGCGCCGAAAATCCAGCCGTCCCAGCTACCATGAAGAGCCCGATGCCACTTATGCCACAACGATCACCGACGAACCCTCACAGATATCTGGTCGATACCGAGATGACACGCGAAAAGAATCCGAACGCAACGACACGCGGAGACGGCCAAGCAAGACTGAAAGAAGGACGAAACATGAAAGGAGTCGGGGAAGCACGGAAGATAACGAGTCATGGAAACCGAAGAAAGAAGATAGCCCTCGCGACTCTCGTCGGACCAGGAAGTCTAGTGAAAAGAAGGACAGTGCCCGCGACTACCGGCATAATAGTGCTTCACTACCTCAAAACCAGTTTCCTGGAGAGTTTCCGTCTACGTACTCTCAGCCATACCGACCACCTGGACTAGCGGCAGAGTACTATGGTGACCAGGGCGAGTCAGTAGCCTCCCAACCTGGCGTTCGTCCCAACGCCCCAAACATTGTCACCAGCGCAGAACAGGCCCATCTTCAGGAGCCCACCATCGAAGCCAAACCCCCTCCCGAGCCGAGCAGTATGGGCCAAGTCGGTGCTGCTGCTAGCTATTTCGGTAAAATCAACAATGATAGCGACATCGGGTCGCAATCGACGCCCTCCAAACCTCACCAGAAACCGAGCTTGGGATCTAACAAGCCTCCCAAGCACGGTTCCTATGGGGCGAGTCCCAGATCTAGCCCAGGCCCTCTGGGTAACCACGCACCACCTTTTGGTGTCGCTCCTGGTGCGGTCGGCTCCTTTCCAGTCTCAGGCACTGCTGCGATCGGTGCAGCGGCCGAGTATTATGCCGGTGGAGGCGGAGGCGGAGGTGCAGGACCGTCAGCCAGTGCATATCAAACGCCCAACAGACCTCCAGCCGGGCTACACGTTACATCAACCCCCTATTCCGCGCCTGCCGGCTTCGGAGTCTCACACCAGCATTCAAATGCAGGTCTGTACGGTGGCGCGGCGGCCCTTGCTGGAGCGGCAGCCGGTGCCTACGTCTCTGGTCACTCTCACAATACGCCCTCACTCCACCAGCATCAACACTCAGCGGATACGGCTGGACTAGCACATGATCACTCTGTATCACATGGTCACCAGATGCATCATGCCCACCGACATAAACACCAGGGACTATTTGGACGATTCATTGACTGGTGGCGAGATCCCGAAGCAGTAGCGCGATTTGAGGAGTACACCGAGACAATTGGTGTTTGTAAATATTGCTTCGATCCCAGGAGTTCACCTGCCGATGCACCTCGCAGACATGACTATCGGCGGCGAAAGCCATCCCCCGGGGGCCGGTATGGGAGTACGACACGGGTAGACAAGATGTATAGGCATAGCTCGGATGAAAATCTTCGAAAATCCTCCTCACTCAAGAAGAAGATGGTGGTCGGTGCCTTGACTGGCCATGGCGTGGCGAAAGTTGGGCAAGCAGTGGTTCAACATAAACATGACTTCGATGACATATATTCGGTGAAGTCAGGGCGACCTGTGAACCAGAGCCGAGTCAGCTTTCAAGCCGAACAACCATTCTCGCGAGACAATGATGCAGGATTTCAGGATCCAAAGAGAGTGGGTAGGAGTAGCGTATCTTCAACCCAAAGAAGACATCGCGCCGGTCGATCGAGCTCGTCGTCCTCGAGCTCGTCTTCACACACTGTCTCCCGTGGCGCAGTGTTGAGCGCTGGAATGGGCGCTGCTGGGGTTGCCGTTGGTGCTGCAGCTCTGGGCGCAGACTCCCGGCGTCAAAGGAAACATAGAAGTCGGTCACCAAGCTCGGGGAGGAGATATTTTTCCAAACGAGTCTCACCAATGCATTCATATGTCGACCTGTCAACGACCAACGACGGGCCAGGTGGTCTGATGGGCTTCTTCACCAGCCCATCGGCTAATTCAAAGAAGGGGAAGAAACCAAAGGGCCTCTTCAATTTCTCAAATGCCTCAAGTTCCTCATCTGACGCTGATCTACGGTATGGTGAGGGAACCGTGCGTCGGAAACCCTCCAAGAGGCGACTTCTAGAAAGACAAGGCAGACAGCATCGCAACAACCCCGTGCCGCCGATGGAAGACCTGTTCAATAGGGGTGCTGCGCTTGCTGACGAGGCTAACAGAAGAGAGCATAAAGGTAGGCAAAAATATGACGCTAACAAGTATGTAGGCCCGGGCAGCAGGGACGCACATGGTCGTCGAATCTCCATGGCTGACCACGAAACTACTGACGGACGCGATGACGAATGGTATGACACAGATGGTGAAGTCGACTCCGAAAGCAGTGTGGATACAGCAATGGCGTATGGTGGAGGATTCTCTGCTTCCAAGAGCCGAGAGCATCTCGCTCAAGGTGGCCGAGCATCAGTATCGGATTACAACTTCAGAAAAGATGACCAAAGGCGACATCGGAACAGTTTGGGACAGGCGAAATTCGGGGACGCACCATCTTTTCCCACGTCATCAATCGAAACGGCCGCTGTGGCGGGTGCAGCAGGAGCCTTGGGTGGTTGGATGGCTTCTAACGCACTCTCGCAGGAATCAAATCCACCCCCAACCTACAGCGCGCTAGATCCGATGCGTGAGCTAGAACCGCGATCAGTGTCTAATCCCCCGTCGAAGGCTGCTTCTCCCTATGCTACCAGGGTATCGTCAACATCTGTGCCTCTACAGCAGCCCCAACCGATTCCCCTTATCGCACCTTTCATAGGCCAGAATATCTCAGAAGATATCCAGCTTGAAGGGCAGACGTCATTGAAAGGACAGAGAACCCCGAGCCATGTTGCACGAGATTCGAACTCGCCTGAGCTTCCTTCCCGGGGTCCGAGGAGTAGCGTCAATTTCAACCTGACTGACGAGGAGCTCAAAAATGAGGAACGCTCCAGTGGTAAGGACAAGGGGTGGGGCCCAAGGTCTGACGACAATAGACGAGGAAGGCCCACAGATTCTACTTTTCCCGTGGAGTCTACACAAAATGCTCGCAAGCCAATGCGTGACGAAATACCAGCAAGACCAGGACGATCGTCTGACGCGGGTGGTAGCTCTTTGGATGCTGACAAACGAGTGGCTGAGATCGATCGTGAATTAAAGAGGCTCTACCAGGAGCACCAAAAGGCTGAAGAACGGAAACGGAAGGACTCGAGTATAAAGAGAGCTGTCGAAAGTTCTGTCATCGGTGCTGCAGCAACTGTGGCCATAGGTGCTATGGCAAGTCAAGACGACAGGAGTCGGTCGGGTGAAGAAGCAATCCCCGCCCGAAAGTCTAGCTTGAAGACGAGAGAAAAGGACGTCTCTTCCCCACCTGAGACGCAGCAAGAAAGAATTGCCAGAATGGCTGCTCAGCGAGCTCGTTCAACGCCATCACCGGTCCAGCATGACGATTATAGTGCCTTCTTCGTTCCCACAGAGATCAAGGAGCATCTCAAAGAACACAACGACAAGGCTGAACACCGAGATGAGTTCGGGGCAACTGTGGTTGAAATTGCTCCTGGAGCACCCAAACCTGGAAGCTCACATCCGTTCGACCCATTCAACTATCGTCCGTTTGGTCTTAGATCGGATGACGACCCATTGTTACACCCTTGGCCTGTCCCAATGCTTGGATTGATTGAGCCTACACCGCCTGGAAGCCGTGTCCACAGTATCAGGGGCGATGAAACGCCCATCATCGAGCCCAAATCGAACGAGGCATCCGATGATATTGGTGAGCCGCTAGAACGGAAGGAGTCTAAAGTGACGTGGGGAGATCCTGACACTTATGTTTACGAAGTCGTGACTCCAGAATACGAGCGCTCTGAGTACGGACCTGATTCGCACTTTCAAGATCAGAGAACTGCAGATCTTCCATCTCCGGATGAAGTTGTCAAAGTGCCATTTTCGGTCACTGAAGATTCACAACAGCGACCAGCTGTGGGTCGGGCCTGGACGCTGGATGAACAAGAGGCAGAGAGTCTTGAGAAGGAAGTGTCCGTCATTGATGACAGACCTCACATAAGCCGCACTTGGACGGTCGATGACAAAGAAGCTGAGGAAATTAATCAGGGACAACCACAGCCTCAATCTAAGGAGGGCT